GAAGCAAACAAAATGGTGACAAATTTTCACCCTGTTTTAAACCGACATTGCAGTTGAACATGACGGACATTTCAGAGCCATTTTTCACACAGGATTTCGTATTTGAGTACAAACCATGAATTACATTGAATATTTTCCCTTTTATACCGCTCTTAAGTAAAGTTTTTTCCCAAGTGATTAGTATGATGTAGTTAAGAAATGAAGAATACAAATGTTATCTACTGTTGAGTATCCCTTCCTAAATCCCGCTTGTGCGCTTGTTATAATATCAAATTCATCAGACAATTTATTCAGGCGGCTATTTAAAATTGATGTGAAAACTTTACCTAGGCAATATAGGCATTACTATACCTGTTGTCCAGGTATCTGGTACTACGCGTGTATCAAGTACAATATTAAAACATTTGTGATACACAGGCATACAAATATCTAAAGTCGTTTTCATGTATTCATTTACAATTCCATCTATACCGCATCCTTTGCTATTTGCGAGTTTTTTAATCGCACCAGTAATCCCAATCAAGCCCCGCTATTGTTTCCCCACTCAGGACACTGTTGCTGATAATATTTTGTTGATGTCATCTTTTGTCTGTAAGGTATGGCTATCTTTACTGAAATAATGTATCAAAACTATAGTCATGATACATATGTAGGAAAAAATCCAAAACTTTAGTTACCATTTTTTGAAGTGGTACGGGGAGCCTGGACGTGACCATATAGGGTAGGGAACTTTGCTTGATGACAGTCTAGAAAAATATCCAAAGTATTTGTTTGCTGCTGACGTCACAAAGAAATTATGTTTCGCTATTGTAACATAACGTCAATAAACAATTTACCCTGTCATCCGTTTGCAAAAAGACAATTTGTGCATCCTCACTTTTCACGGAGAACATATGCTATATCATTGTTATAATTGACATCATACATTTGCCATAAAGAATTCTTCAGAATTGCCAAATACCAACAATATAAACAATGTTTTATTGATGCTAGAAGTATCATTAATCAAACACGTCTGGATCCTCGCGACATCGGTAGGTCAGTATGCACTTCCCGGTATACAAATCTTATCCAACTAATGTCTGAAAAAAATGATTCCACGAGACTGGCCGTAACTTCCCGATACACATTACGTAGAAGGGAGCTCTTTTTGAACCCTATAAAAGGCCGTTACGCCAAGTCAATCGTATAGTTTTTTTCTATCCTGACAAGTAAGTACGAAGGTTCACTACTTTTGCAAACGCGACATTTCTTAATACGATGTACACTACACATGTACATGTAGCTAGTTCGACTTTATTTAAGCGAGAAAATTCTAGAAATATGTCTTTATTTATAAGATTTTTTTAACTATTTATTTATTTATTTATTCGTTTATGTATATATTTTGATTTTGGTAGATGAACATAATTTTTATATAAAAAGCTACTTATTCAAAAATTGGAACTGTCTGATGAATTTGATATTATAACAAGCGCACAAGCGGCTGTTTGGAGAGCCGGGCTATGGAAAAAACTACTTAAGAGCGGTATTAAAGGGAAAATATTCAATGTTATTCATGGTTTGTACTCAAATACGAAATCCTGTGTGAAAAATGGCTCTGAAATGTCCGTCATGTTCAACAGCAATGTCGGTTAAAAACAGGGTGAAAATCACCATTTTTGTTTGCTTTGTACCTGAGTGATTTAGAAGATTTTTTTTCAAGAAAACAACGTGAATTGCTTATATACAGTAGATACACTAAGTGCTGATACCATTGAAACATATCTGAAGTTATTTATTATATTATATGCAGACGATACGGTCCTTATGTCAGAAACGCCAGAAGGGCTACAGTCTGCGTTTGATGTTTTTGAGTTATATTGTTCAAACTGGAAGCTCTCAGTTAATACTCAGAAAACCCAAATTATGATATTTTCTAAACCAACATGTAGAATACAGTTTACTTTTTTATTTGGAGGAGTTGAACTTGATATAGAAGATAGTTTTATGTAACTAGGACTTGTGTTTAACTACAATGGCAGTTTTATCAAAGCAAAAGAACGACTAATTCAACAGGCTCAAAAGGCATTATTTGCAGTACGCAGAAAAATTAGAAATATTCCTTTACCAATTGATCTCCAGTTAAAATTGTTTGACTCAAATGTGTTGCCAGTTCTAATATATGGTGCAGATGTTTGGGGATTTGAAAATAACACTTCAATTGAAAAGATTCATTTACAGTTTTGTAAGAGACTGCTAAATCTTAGAAGGAGCACTGCTAATTACATGCTGTACGGAGTCACAGGAAGATATCCTATCCAGATTGAAATTTATTGTAAAATGATAATGCTTTGGTATAATCTAGTCACGTGTCATGATAAGCTCTCAGGCAAAATTTACAAAATCATGTACAAGTTACACGAAAATAACGTCATTAAGTGTAAATGGTTGCAAAATGTTAAAGAATTACAAGGTAACTCGGGAATGAAATATGTATGGATATTTCAAGAAACATGTACTGTTAGCAAGCCGCTACTGAAAAATGTACTTAAATCTAAGTTACCGGATCAATTTATTCAAAAATGGAATCACGACGTCACAATATCGTCCAGAGGGAATACCTATTCTATTTTGAAGAAAAAATTTGGCTTAGAAGAATATTTGAAACGGCTTCGGGATAAAGATCGGGAAATAATGTCTAAATTCAGAACATCAAATTCGAAACTCCCTATCGAAACAGGAAGATGGACAGGTGTCTTAAGGGAAAATAGAATATGTCTGCTCTGTAACATCGATGTTGGCGACGAATTCCAGTATTTATTTATTTGTAATAACAGTCAGATCAGGGAACTGAGGCATAAATATATACCTAAGTATTACTATAATTATCCGACGACCGTGAAAATGAAAGGAATGTTTCAAAAATGCAACACTGTTCTCCTTAAAAAAATTGGTAGATTTCTAGAAACAACATTGAAAATATTAATTATGCTGTTAATCCTGTTATATCATAAGTTATACAGATTAAATTTGTGTATTTGTATAAATGTGACCTCTTGTACTACACTAAAGTGTGACCGAGTGAAATAAAAACTTGTGAAAACTTGTGGGAAAACCACGATACAGTGGGGGACAGGCATTCTTAAAATATTGCATCAACTGTTAGTGGATATTGTATTGACGTACGTGTTGTAGATTTCGGTAGGTAGCGGTATGAATGATTTGCATCGTTTTCCTTTTCAACTAACCAATTTCGAAAGAAAAATATCCAAATATGTTCAGTACCTAAAGGTTCTTACACGAACATATTTTCATATATAATGATGCAATACCTTTTAGTTTTGTTTTAACTAAATAAAACTTATATATAAACTTAACTTATGAATATTTATATCTATAAAACGGATGTCTTTTCTTGCGTTTGATCAGAGGAAAATTAATGACTGATGTGTCATTGGATTATTGAAATTTTATGTTTTTCTGTTATCATTTAATAGTCAATTCATCATTACTTACTGATATTAAATATGCTTCATTTCAAAGAAAAAAATCTAAAAACTTCAGTTCGTTGTAGTTGTTCATTTTTGTATGTCTCGTGTTTCGAATATCAATTTATTTCTAATAACTAGAGCTATAAATTGATATCAGTTACCATTCAATGGAATCGTGATTGTCATTTTGATACATGCCCGTTCCACTGCCAAAAACTAATTACTGGAAACTGGTTTTCCCGGCACGTGTTGGATCATTTATGAAAATAAAACTACACCTTGCGGGACGGGACTACTATGAGAAATACAAAAGATGAAATCAAAAAAAAAAAGGGTGATTTTAGATCATTTATTGATATCATGTTTCTACTTTTACCAGCTATAACCATGAATACTTTCATCGCCGCCGCCGTCCTCGTTGCCGTTCTGTCGGTAGCCTCTGCCTCCGTTTTCGACGAGGATGATGGCTTCATCATTGGGGCAGGGGGTCACTTCGGTGGTGGTCACCTCGGTGGTGGTCACTTTGGTGGTGGTCACTTTGGCGGTCACATGCAAGGAGGATATCCTATCGTCAAGGGATCAGGTATGTAGAAACGTTATCATACATATGTTAGGATAATATTTCTAGAACAAAAATGATTTTTTAGTGTTTTTTCCCCACAGCAACCACATATGGACATTGTTATTAATAATAGACACGAGTAATCCACGTATAGGTTTTACTGAGAGAAAAAAGTTCAGTACATGTTCTCAGCAGCAACATATCTTTTAGTAGAAACGTGTATATGCTAACTCTTGGCTCTTTAGGGGAATAATGAAGAGAAACATTGTAAACGTTTATCTAATTATGAGATTTGTTCTAAATACATTGTTGTTTATAGTAATCAGTGTTTTATGTAGTGTATATAAGTCAAATTTTCCCATTAATACAATGGTATATGTTTATGTCTTCATTTATTTGCACATTATTTCAATTGAAATGATTCAAAACCTGCTCGTGATATTTCAATACGCTATAGCATATTCGTCTACCTTACAAAATTCCATCAAAGTACCAGAAAAAAAATGGTTAACACGACTTTGTTGCTAGGTTATTTCAGTCTGTTGTTCAATGTTTATGGCAAAAATCTCTATTTACGGTTATGCCAGCTGGAGTAGCTTCCCTTGAATGTTTCCGAGACTCATGAAATTGTATATGAGAATATTATCCAGAATTTAATTTAAGTTTTGAGAACATCTTTTGACTAAAGCTCCAACTAACTATTTTATTCTCTGTGTTTCAGGTCTGCCCTGCAAGAAGCACTACGGTCACGGTGGTTACGTAAAGGGTGGGATGATCACAAAAGGTTACCCAACTGTTTACACTACCGGCGGTCAATACGGAGGTTCCCAGATGTACTCTGGTGGTCAGTATGGAGATTCCCAGATGTACTCAGGTGGTCGGTATGAAGATTCCCAGATGTACTCTGGTGGTCAGTATGGTGGTTCCCAGATGTACTCTGGTGGTCAGTATGGTGGTTCCCAGATGTACGGTGCCGGTCAGTACGGAGGATCCCAGATGTACAACGGTGGTCAGTACGCTGAATCCGAATTGTACGGCGGTGGTCAGTACAACGTCGGAGTCGGACAACACAGTGGTGGACAGCAGATGTATGCCAGCGGTCAACAGTATTACCCTAGCCAAACTGTCTACTAAATACGTAACAGGTGTGTAGACTTTCTTCACTCCCAACTTTTTCTAGAATGGAACATTTATACCAACTCGCTCAATTAGTCTTATGATGCTGGTTTAGTCCAGACTTTTGAGCTTTTTTCCGAAAACATCGTTTATAACTTTTCTTCAATTCTACTCAATGCTGAAATTATCGAAACTTTCCATGTATAATCGGTACAACAGATTAAGCCGGCTATCAAACCAGGGATTGTTATGTTTTGTCCGGATATCTACCATTTTTAAATTGGATTTGTCCTGCGGGATATCGTCTATTAAATATCTTTGACGGGTCCACTCTGCAGTGTTAGTTGACAATTTCGTTCAAATAATGCCACATGAAGGTCTGTTCGAATTTTGACAAAACTAATCAAGGGAGGCTATCACTGTTTACTAACGTCTGCTTTTGTTTCTCTCCTACAGGAATGGTTGAGTCCCAGTGGTAAGGATGACGCGATGACTGGGAAGCTTTAAAATTACCTGTGGTTATTCGTTGTATTTATTGTGTTTAAGTTTTTGTAAATAAAAAACATCAAAACCTTATTCTATTGTTATTATTCTCAATTGTCCGTTGGGCAGTATAGGTGAAAGCAAATCCTCTGTTGTCCGTTGGGGTTACAAAATGGAAACTGACTTTCTCCACCACTGACATACCAAACCACGACATTTGGAAAAAGTTATCATGTAAGCAATGATTAAACTGCTCTCAGCTGACATTGATACGTCACACGGATCGCAGACACATCTTAGTATAAGCTAACAAACTCGTTCGCACAATTTCGCTTAAAGATCCCTGTCCAACTGCAATGTGCAGTAACCTCCCCTTGCCTTTCGTTTGGATATAACTGTATCAGGACACTTTCATACCGGGTGTAACTCAATCGGTCAGACCGATAATTTAGCAGCCTGAAGTTCACGGTTCTAATCCAGGTATAGCCCTTCAGAAACTGTTTTACACTCAGAACAGATATTTTTTTTTATTTTTTTTTCATCTTTTGTATTTCTCATAGTAGTCCCGTCCAGTGGAACGGGCATGTATCAAAATGACAATAACGATTCCATTGAATGGTAACTGATATCAATTTATAGCTCTAGTTATAAGAAATAAATTCGTATTCGAAACACGAGGCATACGAAAATGAACAACAACAACGAACTGAAGTTTAAGAAAAAAAAATTGAAATTAAGCATGTTTAATATCAGTAAGTAATGGGGAATTAACTATCAAATGATAACAGAAAAACATCAAATTTCAGTAATCCATTAATTTTACTCTGATCAAACGCAAGAAAAGACATCCGTTTTATAGATAAAAGTATTCATAAGTTAAGTTTATATATTAGTCTTGTTTAGTTCAAACAAAACTAAAAGGTATTGCATCATTATATATGAAAATATGTTCGTGAAAGAACCTTTAGGTACTTAACATATTTGGATATCTTTTCTCTCGAAATTGGTTAGTTGAAAAGGAAAACGATGCAAATCATTCATACCGCTACCTACCGAAATCTACAACACGTACGTCAATACAATATCCACTTACAGTTGGTGCAATATCTTAAGAATGCCTGTCCCCCACTGTATCGTGGTTTTTCCTATATACAGTAACCTCCCTTTAACTTCCGGTTAGATATGACTGTAGCACAGTTGGGCCAAGACAGTTCCGCTGACCAGTAGCTCAGTAAGTTACAACGATAGTATAGCAATCTGAAGACCAGAGTTGGAATCCCACTCTAGCCCGCTATTTTTTTCCCACCTAGAACCCTGTTGCTGATAATATTTTGTTATTTTATCTTTCATCTGTAAGGTATGAATTTCTTTACAGAAAAGATTTATCAAAACTATAGTCTTGTTAGAAAAAAAATCCAAAACTTAGAATAGCTACCGTTTTTAGAAGTGGTACGGGGATCCTTAATTATATATATAACAGGACGTGAACACATAGGCGAGGGAACTCTGCTTGATATTTGTTTGCTGTTGACGTCATAAAGAAATTATATTTACGCTATTGTAACCAAACGTCAATAAACAATTTACCCAGCCTTCCATTCGCAAAATAAAATAAAATTGTGCATCCTCACTTTTCACGGAAACCATATGCTATATCATTGTTTTAATTGACATCAGAATTTTTCAGAGTTGCCAAATATCATCAATATAAACAGTGTGTTATTGATGCTAGAAGGATCATTAATATCAAACCCGACTTGGTATATAGGTTTATGGTATGATCAATACTAAATGTTTGAAAATGTTTTTGCAATAACAGAAATTCAGTAGCGATTGTATTTCAGATGCTATTTGGTCATTTTAACAGCGATAATAACTACAATTTAAAACAAACAAAAAGATATTTTCGGAAGGTGTTTTCATTCTGTATTTTCTATCTAATTACAATTATTTGCTCTCTTAAAGAAAGCGAACACATGTAATTAGATGTAAAACATATCTAATTACGTGTATTAGATATGCGAAATACAAAATGAAAATACTTTCCGAAAGAATCTCTTTTTCTTTTTGATACATTTATAATCGCTGTTAAAATGTCTAAATAACATCTGAAATACATTCACTTCTAAATTTCTGAAAATGACTTTGCTTTAGTACACACATTATTTCTCTAGGAAATCAACATGATTCTGTTACATTCCATGTGTCATATTCTGGTAAGAAGTTGTCCAACATAGACGGCTAGGCATTGGCTAAAGTCTTATTTATTCTATGTATTGCCTACAGCCGATCTGACCACTTCCGTGTGTTTCACACCACCGAGTGTCCGCTAGTAGGATGTACCTGTCCGGCTATTAGTCTGCATGTCGCCGAGTGGAATGTCGGGTACTTACATAATTCATTCATGAATAATTCATCAATGGACATTTTCAATACTTTACACACATTCTGGGATCAGGTTTCTCTAGACTTAGTAACAGTTATATCTCGATACAATGCCACTTGTAGCACATTGTCCCCTCAGTATAACACCAACGAGATCTCAGTATCCCTCTTTTCACCTAATATTACATGAGATAGTCTCCTTCGATATATCGCCAAATTCCTACCTACTCGGAAGCAGTTAAACGATGAGATTTTTCCGGATTTCTTTAACATTTTCTGTGATTGTTGTCTTTTTTTAAGCCGTCTATAGGAGCTCACATTTCTTGAGTTTTTAGTATGCTCTGTCTATGCGATAGTCATGATACCCTGCCAAATACAAAATTGTCATGATGATTTAAATATCTATTTATTTTCTTACGTACGGGGATTAAAACTGCACTCGCATATGTTTACTGTATATGAATCAGTGTTGGGGGGGGGGGGGGGGGGGGGGGTTNGGCGTATCTTCCATGTGGGGAAAATGAAGCCCCCTAACGCGAATGAATACTTCATATCAGAAGAAATCGTTAACATTTGTACATTTAATTTAAAATAGAAATATAAATCAAAGGTAATTATACCTCAACCATTCATGTACCAAAGACCAAAGTATATCAAAATGTACATTGCAATTCTCTTTCGGTTTTTTCCAGCGTTTGTGTTTTACGTCCTGTAAACAATCGCCATTCCAGTAGTGGAGAGCTAGTAGCAGAATGGCAGACGCCATAACCACTTGGCCACCGCGGCCCATGTCTAATATACATAAATATAAGTAAAACTTGATTGAAGCCTGCTTGACTATTTTTTTTATAAAAATCACAGAAAGACCGATTCTCGAGGACTTTTGCTGCTATAGTCCTTCGGGAGAATGATTTTATTTTTACAAAAACATAGAACGCTAAGTGATATAGACAGTGTGGACAAACTATAGTCGAATTTTCGGTGCAGCTTGATCCTTTTTTTCAAAACATACAAACGACTGACAAAGACTTACTATACATTACGAAAAATATACACTGATATATTAAAAGAGAACAGCGCGTTTTTCTCCAAAAATTGGAAGTATTTTCACCATGGATGAACCCCGGGAATTCCTACGAAGAAGTGGACGAATCGTCCAAAAAATAAGCAAAGCTCGTGAAAACTCGTATCGTCCACGGTATAAATACAAGTTAAGAGAGTCAAAAAATTAAAACTGAATATGAGGTAGTATCAAAAAAGTGTTTAAAGTTGAGATAAACACGAATATATTTATTTTTTCTTAAATTCTCCAATATTTTTCGTACGAATTCAGCTCACAGGATTGCAAAAAAGCAGGCCGGCTGAAAGTAGGGCAAAAGCAAACTCGCTTATGATACCAAGAGCTTTTGGTAAAACATTTTTTTACGATTATGTAATAAATAACAAACCAGAGAGAGTTGTTCCGATGAGCGACCTTTTTTTCGAAAGTCACTGTACTCTAATTCGGAAAATCTTACATGGTATATGTATTTGAAAAAGCGGTAACATGTATTTGCATGAATGCGGGGTTTGAGAACTACTTGCTGATTATTGCACAAGCCTGTGGAAATCTTGATTTCATATGATGACTCCGTGTTTTTGTAGCTAGAGAGATAGTGAACTGTTGACCATATACATATATACAAATGTATATGTATGAATACATTGACAATTCAGCTGGTTTAGCCAGGAGGAGAACGGGCTAGCTGCAGGCTACATGTGTACAAGAACATCGCAGTTTAGATTTTGACGAGCAGAATAAGTCTACTGTAACCAATTTTGACTTAATACCATTATATTTCTCGCCTATTTGATTTTACGCGGGTAGGTTAAGTAAAACTTCAAAAAAAAAAGACTTTCAGAAGTAAAATCCGAAAATAAGTGTTAACGACACACACTTGAATACATTTTTTTCGTATGCATTCATGTCTGCCATAAGTGTCATGGAACTTTACGATATTGTATTCAATATTTGAAATATTCACAGTTACTACGTATTTCAAACAAAACAGCGAGCCAAAAATCTCTTGTATCCTACTACGTCCAAAGCAGTCCGAGTTATCTCCCTTACTGCTTGGAAAATGTATGTATTTTGGCGCATGTTTTACTGCGAGTGTATTTATCTTGAGTTGTCACGTAGATCGTCGTGCATTATACAACAAGTAATCAATCAATCAATATGTATTATACATATACGTGCATTGCCCTTATGATATGGGAACACAATTCTTTGTTTCTGTGTCCTGTCTCAACTGTACAATCCAAACGGAAGTTAAAGGGAGGTTACTGCATACAGGAAAAACCACAGTGCAGTGGGACAGGGAACGTCAATTAGTTTTCTTACTGTGACGTTGCAATATATCAGTCATTGTCTTAAGATATTGTGGAAGGATATTGACCATCTGTTCACGGGAGTTTCGTGTGTTGATAAAGAAAGAAAACAAAATATATTTTTTTCTTGATAACATGATATCTATCTATATTTCACTTACGGATTGAATGTGTTCGTATGTTTTGCTCGCGCTACCGACTCGTGAGAAATATCAAAATATTCATTCAACTTGTAAAATATAATTTTTATTCATCAAGAGTGCCATGCATAACTTTAATTTATTTGATTAGAAATGTTATATCACTTCCCTTATTACGGTTGCAATATACAAATACAA